TGTTGTTGTTGTTGTTGTTGTTGTTGTTGTTGTTGTTGTTGTTGTTGTTGTTGTTGTTGTTGTTGTTGTTGTTGTTGTTGTTGTTGTTGTTGTTGTTGTTGTTGTTGTTGTTGTTGTTGTTGTTGTTGTTGTTGTTGTAGTTGTTGTTGTTGTTGTTGTTGTTGTTGTTGTTGTTGTTGTTGTTGTTGTTGTTGTTGTTGTTGTTGTTGTTGTTGTTGTTGTTGTTGTTGTTGTTGTTTTTGTTGTTGTTGTTGTTGTTGTTGTGTTGTTGTTGTGTTGTTGTTTGGTTGTTGTTTGGTTGTTTGGTTGGTTGGTTGGTTGGGTGGGTGGGTGGTTGGTGGGTAGGTGGATGGGTGGGTGGGTGGGTGGTCGTTGTTGTTGTTGTTGTTGTCGCTGTTGCTGTTGTTGTTTTTTTGTGTTTCATGGGGAAACGAAACGGGTTGGGTTGGTTAAGGGTGAAAGGGTGGCGGTTTGTTGTCTTTTCTTTTCCATGGGAAACAAAAACGGGGTGGGCTGGGTGTTGGCTGACCTCCAGTGGAGGGTGTTGTTTTTCCCCTTTTTTTCCAGGGGAACAAAAACGGGCTGGTTGGTTGAGTTTGAAGGGTTGGCTGTGGTACTCCTTTTTTGGGGATTGGTGGAATTTCAAGAAGAACCCAAGTCCCAAAAAGTGGACACCAGGGGGGGGGGGGCAGAATCCGCTTATCTTGCAACCGGGCAGCATATCGTAACCCCCATTGCCTACCGTCACCACCGCGTACATCAACTCCGGAATCGAACCTGCCGCCATCCGAAATGGACACGGATCTGATAAAATGGGCAAATGTTCTGCTGCACACTTTTTCAGTGCCAGCACTGGAGCCACCACATGAGCGAGCTCTATTCAACCGTGCACATGCTACAAGGCTACGCGGTCTTGCCATGAGTGGAACTAATTGAACTGGCTCGGGAACGAGTGCTGTCCCCGCAACTAGCTCACCGTCGCCGGGCGGTCAACCCAAGTCGTGTGTTGCATCCAGCAAAGTGACGTCCGCCAAAATGTCTTTGGTGGATTGAAAAGAAACCGAACACACCCTCATTCCTGAGACCTTTGGGTTTTTGTGGAACCAGGGCTCAAAACATGTGACAAACAAAGACTGGACCTGCCTATTTTGCCCAAACAACCCCCCCTGTTTTGTTGGCTCTGGACCACTTGCAGGGCTGTGTCTTCAGGAAAGAGTCGTGCATGACTCACACATACTGACACATTGCTCAGGATTTCGGAGCCCAGTAGAGCTATGGGCATCCATCCTGGCTCTCGAAATAGATTTGGACCCGAAAAAAGGTGGCGTTCCTTTCGATTTCGTTCCCCTTGAATCAACCTTTGAAAGGGTACCAGCGCCCGAACAAAACCAGCCACACCCACCGGTATATTGTATGTATATGTATATATAATGTATGTACATATGTATAATACATATATACATTATATATATACACGGATTTGCCGCTTTTTCCTTGCATCACATTCCCTGAAAAGGCGCACGCAGGTCGCTTTTGTCCCGCTGATTGCTTCGTTTTCGGGCTTCCGGCGTGGTTGAGCCAAATGGTTTCGAGGCCCTCCATGTGGGCCGCACCCACCTGAGAGTTTCGGGCTGCGAGGTGGGTTTTCCGGTAGGGCTTCCCTTTACCGCCCAAAGGGGCACCAACTCTAGGCGCGCCCGCTTGCCTCCCAAGGGGATTTGCTGATATCACGCCTACGTCCTGGATGACTTGGTAGGCCCGCAATTCCATAGGCAAGTGCGGCTGACCAAAATGGGAGAATTGTGACCTTCACCCAACCCAACTGTAAGCGGGATGTAAGCGGGATGTAAGCGGGATGTAAGCGGGAGCCATCACTGATTCCCTGTGGTTGAACAAAGGGGAATGGGCACGTTTTGTTGCGGCGCCTGACCAAGCAGGAACTCCGCACCAAACATCCCTCTAGACGAACCAATCAATTGAAATGGGTGCCCTTCAAAAAAAGGGATGTCCGCTTGGATTCCCCTTCATACATCTTCACACCATACCGGGAACCTCAATTCTGGTTCGGCGCCTGTTTCATGCACCCTTGGCTGAGCCCTTGGACCTCAAAACCAAAAATCAGTTCATGATCCTTTGGGAATGCTGCGTGTAGCATGCAATTATGCACCTTGTAATTGGTGGGATGCCCCCTAAGCTTCTTCTACGAAGGTTTTGATTGTGGCCGGTGGATTCATCCAGCCTTTCCCCAGCTTGAATGCATAGCTGCAATCTGAGGATCCGGATCACTCTCTTGGAAGCATGAGGCAACCAAAAAAGTGTCCACCTTTGCCATCAGGAGGTTCCACTCTTGAAATTCGTATCATTCACCGCAACCGTAGCCTTTCCCATCCGAGGGAATGTAAGCCAAAACCTGGCAAGCGCCACCTTTCCTTTTCGATCCCAGTTGCAGGGGGCTGATCCTTCGGATGGTCTCCCGATCTGGAAGCCTCAGGAGCTCAGGTCATGCCAAGCGGCGATCATCCGCCAGCACCCGGGTCCCAACTTCTCGGCAAAATCCCTTGGTACGGAAGCCAAAAAGGCCGTGGTTGGGAATTGGGAGTTCGGCTGGCAAAGATTCATTGAGACAACCTGGAACAAACAATTACGTCCGAACATATCAGCAACATGCACATGTAAAGAAGACCACATCCCAGTATGAAACACATATCCGAAAGCAAACAAACGGTTGCTCCCGGGCGACCGTTTGTAAGGAGGATGAATTCCAGCAGAAACAACAGGGTTGCTTCAAAGACCCGCAATGCGTGGGACTGAGTACTACACGGGCCGCCTTGGTAGAGCCTTGCCATTGTCGAGCTTTCCTACAACATTCACAACCATCCCCTGCAACCGCAACCTCAAGTGAAAGAGGTGTGCTTTGATTCCTCTAACTTCTCAGTGATGAGCCCATTGTATTTTGTTGGCAACAAATGCGGACTCATGGGGCAAGCCGCAATTCGATTGCATGGACTGGACATTTGAAGATTTGACTATTATTTAACACGTTCATGCATGGCACCAGTGCATGAAATTGGTCATGACTGATGTCAGCTCAACAGAATATCACGTACCAAAGGATGTCAATGCAGCCTGCGAACACATATTGGACTGATATTGGTCATGCGTTTATCAGCTAATTGGAGTGCAACACGCAGGGGGAACACCCAGACCTTCAAATTGATTAGGGTAGGGAGTAATTATTCATCAATCATTGATTCACTGTATTTGCACAAGGTGTCCATGTCACGCGAAAATGCAAGTTGACACGAGTTGACACCAGTTGACACAAGTCACACAAAGGAAGTGCCAGAGCCGAACCGAAGCAACCACAAATTTTGGCGCTGACAATACATTTCTTCAAATTGGCAATACCAAAAAAAAACGTCTCCTTCCGAAAAAAAAAAAAAAAAAAAAAAAAAAAAAAAAAAAAAAAAAAAAAAAAAAAAAAAAAAAAAAAAAAAAAAAAAAAAAAAAAAAAAAAAAAAAACAAGACGCCAGCATAGACCCCAAATAGCGAACAATCCCACCAGCACCTGCTGTCAATCCAAAGCAACGTCACCAGCACACCAAAACAGCAACGCACCAGCACCCCCAATCTGCATGCCCCATAGCACCCAGCCGTCAATCTCGCAAATCACTTTCCCCTCTTTATTAGAAGGAATTTCGCAAGCTCCGTTGGTTTCTCCTCTTGCTGCGGCCTGACTCAGTGCCTCTGGAAAACCATCTTCTACGCGTACCCTCCCACAAATGCCGTCCACTCTGAACCCACGAAACTACCAAAAAAACACCCAACAGAATAGATACTTTTTACTATGAAACCACTGTGTGCTGGGTGTCCTAAGGTTTTGGGGTCCGAATAGCGGTCCGAATATCTTTTTTTTGGGGATATGTGATCACACGTGCTGAGGCGCCGGCTTGTCGATCCCCTCAGCGTCCAGGATGGTCGGCAGCGACCTCCGTTCCAGGACGTTCCGGGGCTGGGGATATGACTGCGCGTATTGAGAAACCTGCCCCCTGTTTGGCTGTTCGCAAAGAAGCCAAGAGATAGCCGGGTCCATGGTTACTGGGTTCATTCCCTCCCCTCCTCTTCTTTCTTCTTGGACTGGTTAAAAGGAAGCCAAGAAGGAAAACCAACCATGTCGAAGGGGAAACTTTTCTCATGAGGTCTTCTTGGTGGATGTTTACAGGGAAGCCCAAAAGGAAAACCCAACTTTTTGTGGGGTGCGAATTTCCTGAGCCAAAAACCGCACCTCGTTTTCCCAAGTCCCAAGCGCGCTTCGGACAAGAAGCTGAGATCCCCTGCTCGCCGGACGTGACGGACCACCAGTCCTTCAAGGCCTCCGATTGCGACTGTCGGAACCTCCGAAACGCCACCCTCATTGCTGGTATTTGGGAGGAACGAAGGAAGCCACAAAGGACCCCCACAAGTCCTTTGTAAACGAGAGTGGTCCAGGTTCGTTGCCGGGCATTTGGGGCCGTTTCTAGGCCCACACACCTTCAAAAAGGGTGTGTGGCGAGTCTGTGAGCCTCCCAAACCCCATGGTGAATAATCAAAAAAGGGACATCTATGCCACAAAAGATCTCAAAGGAAAAAACAACGAGGCCCCAAAATCGACTTCCACAGGGGTTTTGGCTTTCAACATCGCCTTAAGATATCTGATCGACCTCGGGATCAGCAGTTGGAAAACTGCGGGATACCAAAGCAAACTGCCAAACATGGAATAAGTCTTCTTTTCCGTTTACAAGGGTTCGTTGTGGACCCACACCCATATGAAGGTTCTGGGAACCAATCCAAGGACCACCTCTGAAATGTTTGCCGCCGTTTCTGCAAGACCTGGTGGATGGGGTGGTGCAAAAGAAAAGGGAGCCTCAAGCTGGCGACGGGAAGGATTCAAATACATCCATGCTTTCCTCACCAACCACCGTTCAAGCAACAGGGGTTAAAATAACCACCGCTGCTTGCCTCAGGACTTTCGTCTGCTTGCCTCAGGACTTTCATCAACTAAATTGGCAGCCATCATTTTCATGGGAGATGTACCCGACTAACCTTCTTCTACGGGTTTGGCCAGTGGCTCGCCCCTGTTTGGGTCGAACATGAAGTTGGACCAAACTGAAGCGCATCAACAAAAGCACGTGCTCAACACGGCCTAACTTGACTCTGAACGAACAGAGAAACGCGGGTGGAGAGGGAAAGCTCTCTGAGGGGGGAAGTCCGAAATTGCTTCCATGGACGACGCCATGGTGGGTCCCCCCAAATCCACGCGTAGGAATCGCAAGGGCTCTGCTTTCCATGCAACGGAACCAGAAACGATGGCGAACGGCTGCGTTGGACCACAGGTCCGCGCAAGGACGAAACGTGGCCCTGTGCAGGCACTTTGGCTGCATGTGCGCAAACCACCCCGGCCGCAATGCTGGTACGGAAGCGAGTTCAGAGCAGATTTGGAGCGGGGTTGGCGACGGCCATTGGCACGGCCATGCGCGCACTGCTTCGCAACCTTCAATCAGCCAGCCCTCTGCGCACTTTGGGCGGGTGGACCCAAAAAAACTCGTGTGTGTGTGTGTGTGTGTGTGGGTGCGTGCAGACCGTTTGCACTTCGCTCGCACGACCCTCCGACCCTCCGCGGACTTTCGGTGAGACGACCCTACAAAGGGGAGCGTGCTCCAGAGAGCGAGAGAGAAAGAGCAGAAAGAAGACCCCAAGCTCTGACGCACTTTACAATGTATGGAGTTGTATCAGTATGCAACCGGCACTGCACAAGGATAATTGATTTGAAAGCAATTTCAAACAGAACTTAAAATACACACCATCCTCCACATTGATGGCTTGCCTTGCGCAATTTTCCTGCAAACCGATCAGACTAAGAAACGATGACAAAGGTGCTACAGGCATGTTGAAGCTGCCACAGTGTACTGCACACTCTCTCTGAGAATGAATAGTTGTGTCTTGTTAAGCTGGAGCTGTCAGCGTGCACTGCGCTTACTACGTGTTTAGTCAACAAATACGACTTTTCAAGATGTTGAAGAACATAGGATGTCCTTCACAAATTGCTGTTAAATGTTCCTTACATGGAATTGAAAAGTAAGCGCTTTAAGATTGAGTGACTTCAAAGAGCTGTTCGAATATGGTGTTTCTTCCAATCTGCGTCTTGAATAGATCTTGCAGGCCTGGAGTGTAAGTGACCCAAACCCAGGTCCATGATTGGGGGGTGCCTACACATGTATATGCTAGGTCCTCCAGAAGAGAGGTTAGAATAAGGGTGCCCTTTGTTCTGTAGTCTATTTTAGTAGGGGAACCCTCCCCCAAAAAAGAAGCGGTAAAAGGGCACTGCTGGGGGACCTTCACATTCTCCGTGTGGCTTCAGACTGAGGCGGAAACGGGTGGGTCCATTCCCACGTGGTGGGTCCATGGGGTCCAGCTTCACCCAGTCCACCTAGTCCACCTAGTCCACCTAGTCCCACTGAACCGAAGCTAAAAAAAATGTCAGCTTTCTCACTAGAGCCCATTCCAGAACGGCTCCTAAAGAAACTGTCTAGTTGCTAAGAAATGACCTTTTTACTTCTTACACAAAAACTAACGAGCTTGAAAACAATAAATAGAATGCAATGTGGCAATGTGCTTCTTCTTCACCTTCCGAGGTCCCAAGATTTTGACCCGAAAGAGAAAACAGGGCTGCCCCCTTTTTGGTTCCTGCCACACGAGAAATTCAAATAAGTCCATCTCCAAGAACTACGACATCTAGGGTTGAGGACGTAAAAAACCGGTTACTTTGCCATAGAGTCATACATACTGTGTATATTTTATAGAGAGAGAGAGAGAGAATACCTTTGGATTGTATCACAGTGACTCACCCAACGGCTATCAACCAACCGACCTTCGACGCCCCTTTCTCTGGCACGCTTGCCATTCGGCAATAGCTCAAAGCGTTCGGATGGACTGTCGCACGGCCGAAGAATTTTCTCATTTCGGCGCACGGTGGGAGACTTCCGGGAACCCTTTTGGGGGGGGGGGGGTAGGTACGTTACTGGGGGCGGGTAGTTGAGAGCCCTTAGGGGAGAAACGGGTTCCTTAGGCCTTAGGGAGCCCTTAGGGAGCATCCCCCCGTTGGACCACCCCCCCTAGGGACTCCGTAAAGAGTGAATCCTCGCCACAACTACACCATCTTGTGCACAATTCCAGGGGTTGATTCCCCATTCCTTTCAGTCATCGTTTTTTAGAAAATCAGCCATTTCCCCAGAGTTTTTGGCGGTTGTCTAGAAAAAAGGATCCCTGGGGAAGGTACCCCTAGAACAATGCGCCTACAATGCTTTCTGCCAAACTACTAAACCTGCTCTCGTCAGCGCTCCTTTATGGAAGGCTTGTCAGGCAGTTTCATTGTCGCACGCGTCGCGACCAAGCAGGCGAAGCCAAACATCGGCAAGCTGATGTGTGCCGGAAGAGTTCCGCAAGAGGGCGAGAGGCAACCGCCAACCTCAGCTTTCTCTACAGTCTCACAGTTCTTTCGAGGGGGAACTTCCATTTCCGTTCTTTCCAGGGATCCTTTTTTCTAGAAAACCACCAAAAACCCTGGGGAAATGGCTGATGTTCGAAAAGAACGATGACTGAAAGGAATGAGGAATCAACCCCTAGATTCTTTGGTGATGTGTCCAATCTCCAGCCACACACATACACCCAACAAAAACCTGTCTTCATCTTTCACCACTTGTTCACTTGACAGCCGTGTGATCACCCAAAGGGAAGTTGACACGCGTTGACTGAGTGGCCCATTGTTTGCCAACGAAACATCCCATTACATCACGGAGCGAAATCCGATCGCAGCACTTTCAAATCATTCCAGGGTTTGTTAGGTCGGTGATGTAGGATTCTACCCATCCACAGTCGCACACCATACGACCATACGACCCAGTTGTCGATTGCCTTTTTTAGCTCTGCGCACTTCGAGCAGCCTGATTCTTGCTGCTAGGACCTAGGACCGGACAAGCGAGTTTCCCAACATTCATCCCAGTGGCCTGCCATGAATTTACATTGCAAATATACCACAGTACGAAGTGTTTTGGGAGGTCCCTCAAGATTGCCCCAACACACCTGAGAAAGGTTGCCAATTCAAGGTAGTTTACTTCATCACTTCATCCTCAACTTTATACCAGCATCATCGTTTTCACAACATTGCCATTGGCTTCACAACATCATCGGCTTTACAGCTCTTTCACCGCCACAACGCTGTTGTCGAAGAGTCGTGTGACTGCTCAAGCATCTTCCACCAAAGATACGAAATTGTTTGGCACAAGAAGAACTCGCAGATGCACCACCGTCACTACCAGCTCATTTGGGCCACAATCAAAACCTGGTACAAAAAGATCGTGAACCCAAAACCATGTAAAAACAATGAAACGGCGGCGGCACCATTTCTGGCAAGGGGATTGTCCCTTACCGCTTCAATTCTCCGGGTTTGGTTGCGACTCATGTTTCCTTGACAATCGAAATGTCCCGCTCGCCGCTCGAAACACAAAACCGCTTCAGTCACCCCCGACGGGCCCCAACCCGAAGCGAATGCATTCGCCAGTTTGAGTGGCCCGGGCCATGATCTCACAGGTGGGAAGGGCAATCTTCTGGTATCGCTCGGGGAAGATCTGAGCCAGCGCCACGTAGATGGTGACCTGAGTTTGGACAAAAATTTGGGCCCAAACGGAGAAGTGTCGATTCGGTGGAGTCGGTGGTGTTTTTTGGATTCGTTCGGTTGCAGGGTGGGATGAATGGGACGACTGGGAAGGGGTTAGGGACATCTAGCCCAAAGAACCAAGACTTGGGTTGGAATGGCCGAAGTTTGCTCGAACCTTTCGCCTACAAGACGATAACAGAAAAGCCGTCAGGCATGTCGCCTGAAGGGAGCCCAAAGCGGTCTACACCGCAGTCCAAGACCCACTTGGTAGGTACAGCCGCCAAGTTCTAAGCGCGAAGCCGGGCAAACAGACCTCCTGGGTTTTGAGCAAGGTGAAGTCATGAGTCATGTGATCGTCATATCGTTTTTTATCGTCATGTCACGCGGGAATTGGAATGGCATCAATAGTGTCAACAGCCAGACATGTAGACAACTGAAAGACCCAAATTTGGTATCTCGTCTCACCATCTCAAATGTTTAGCTCCGACCGTCAAATCCTGTATGACCTGTATGATATGGTTCGTTGTTCCATCTACCAAACCGCCCATCGCTGAAACCCTGAGGATCCAAGCAATGGAGACTTGGGGCCCAAGGAAACCTCAGAACATTGTTCAGAAGCTCAAAACTTGAAAAACGTCTTTCATTGGAGGAGAACCAAAACAAAGGTTGGCGGGTGAGATGCGGTGCGGGGACATGGCCATGGGTCAAAAGCCAAATCGTACCCCCAGTGACCATCCCAATCCCCATAGCCCAAAATGGGTGCGCCGAAAACCCACAAAAAATCGGATCCCAAAACGGTCACATGGGGTTGCCACAGCCACATGGTCTCAGCTGCAACTCCACTTGATGCGAGTCACAAAGACCACCGAGAGCGCCATCCGCGCCAAGATGGCCATGGCCATGGTGAAGGCGCTATCTACCTCCAAACCGTTGGGGATTTTTCCGGGGACAACCTGCCGAACCTTCGGGACCCAGTTTCCTTAAAAGGAAAACCCCCGAACGTCCAGGTTCCAGGTCTAAAATGGTGGGAGGATACATCTAAAAACGGACTGTCCAAAACCGCAGAGCTGAAAGAGTTCTCATCAAGTTCACCCAGGTGAGAGAACTGGAATGAGACCTAGGGGCTACCACGGACATCCCGGACGCAGCGTTCACTGGGCTCAAATACTAAGAGCCTGGAGGGCAACTGTCGAATGCTCGCCGGCTTAAGAAACAAGAACACTGCTCGAGTTGAAACACTGATCCACAGGGATGCCCCAAATGCAAACATCCACAGAGGGCAGAGCAAGACCAAATGGAGTCGATTCTAGATCTTCGGCAGTTCACGGCCCATGGACACCAAATGGCATGGATTCAAGCTCGCAAATCGGGCAAATCGGGTGTATCAGCTTGGAAACCATATATCTTTGCATTTGCGCATGGGTGTGAATTTTAATTAGGGTCCCTTTGACATGAGGATTTATGTCCAGCCCACGTTCCCTATTTAAACTCATGGTCACCTTGCCCGTTTCTGGGCACGTGACTGGAGCAACCTTTGGTCCAGGCTTCAAAGCCACGCCGGACCCCCGTCCAGGTCTTTACATGTCCCTAGAAGGCCGGGGGGGTCCCCAATTCCATTTACCAAAGGGAATGGAACCACAAATGGACGATTGCAGCTTGTATCACGGTGGCTGGATCAACCCCCGAGGGATCCCACAACCCTCTCCTCCCACGCCAAAAACCGGGGGAAAAAAAGAAAGAAAAAACGGGAGGAAAAAAGAAGCAGAACAAAAAAAACGGAAAAACACGGGAAACAAGAGGGAAAAAAAGGAAGACAGAAAGCCAACAACCGCCACGCTTCCGGGGCACGCCGCCCAGGGCGCAGGCCAGCAGCGCCACCGCGGCCGTGAGGAAGCCCGCCCTCTGCGCCCGCAGCAGACCCCAGCGGGCGGCGCGGCTGGCCAGGAGGCAGGCGAGCACGTCGGAGCCGCTGATGAGCGTGGCGCTGACCTCGGGGTTTCTGTTGGAGGACTAACCCCCCCGGCAAAAAGCGGAAATCACTTCTTCTTGTTCTTTTTTTTTGGGGGGGGGGTGTAGTGGAAAACACCCATAGTTGTTTTCAACCAAAAACACAACTTGAGTTGTTTCTCTTTTTTTTTGGGGGGGGGAGTTCGTGGAAAACACAACTTGGAGGTGAGTTCCTGCAATAAGTTGCTCTCAAACCTGAGTGAAGGGCAATCCTCCAAAGATCCAATCCTCTAAAACCAAGGTTAACTAACCCCCGGGCAAAAACGGAGGGGTGTAGTGGAAAACACCAATATGTTTGTTTCAACCAAAAAGTGAAAGTCTGAAGATCCAAGCCAATAGCAGTCAAGTGACGAAGGGGTTGGAGGAGAGGGAATCGGCGGAATAGCTCAAGCCGTAGTAGGCCTCAAAAATCAGAGGGAGGTGCAGCAAGAAGTGTCCGTCCAAGGCTGGCATACTGTGAAAAAAATGGGGAAACAAGCACATGTGATATATGGCTGTGGCTCAAAAAAGTGGTAGCAAAATGGGTTGCCCTGGTAAGTGGAAACGCGCAGCCCCTCCTGTCTAATTTTGAGCCACTCCCAGATCGACACACACACACACACACACACACACACACCATTCAGCAGATCGGCAAAGACGGTGGCCATGAAGCAAACCCCCAGGTTCGCCAAGTCCCGCCGCATCGCGGGGCTCATCTCCTCGCCCTCGCCCTGCTCCGGCGCAGAGGGCGCCGCTGCGCTCGGCCGCGGCGCAGAGGGCGCAGTCGCCGGCGCGGTGCCCAGGGCTTTGGGCAGCCCCCGCACGACGCTGCCGAGGTCTGGGAAGCCCAGCAAGAGGCCCACGAAGATCGGGAGCCCAAACCAAATCCTAACGGATTCTTCAAAAAAGGAGTTGGAAAGAGAAGGCCGGGAAAGAAAAAAGACTCGGCTTGGAACCCGAAGGCTCTTCGGTTGGACGATTTAGCTCATGGAAAGGTGGGAAGATCTTGCCACATAGCTGCCAAAAGGGAATGAGGATAGCTCCAGTGGGAGGTTTCTCCACGGTGATTGTCTTGCTGGTGCTCAGGGAATGAGAAATGGAATGCCCCTTTTCCATCATGCCTCGTGGTTTCCTTCGGGGAATGGACAAAAGCCTACATTCATTCCCACATTACCCACCTATCGCACCGATCGCAAGCCACTTCAACCAAGTAACATGGGACAGGACCTGACTTTTTGGGGGGTCCTGGTATGAACACCATCTAAAAGGGACCGGGTTCCTTTAACGTCGAACGGTTCCGCGTTTTCTGGTCGGGCAACAACTTCAACCAGCGAAACTCCCAGTCCAAAGAAGTTGCCCATATAACCGAGGTTACATGTAACTCTGCAGGTTCAGGTCTCGTTCCTTCACGGAATTCCTGAAGTTTCAGCCTTGCGATACTCCCCCACCCCCCCCCCCCCCCCCGCAGAACCCGGAAACGCCGCCTTGCAAGCCACTTCCACCAGGTAACATGGAACCCTTCGAGGGTTTTGGGGTTTTCCCATCTGTGAAAACCCACGTTCCTTTTTTTTTGGGCGGAGGGTCCCGATCAGTGTCGGACGGGGTCCGACGATGCCAATCCGAGGCTCAAGGCTTCGACGCGCCAGTCCGTGCTGCGCGTCAGGGTGCCGCAGAGCAGGGCCATCAGGACGGCCACCACGGCGTACAAGGCGTTCACCAGAGAGCACAACTCGCTGCCACGGCCTAACTCTTCGGTTCTACCCGGGGGAAAAAGAAAGAAAAGCAGGTGTTTTTTTTCAGTGGCCTAAGTTTTCGATATAT